TTTTTTTAATGTTTTTCATGACATACTATACTGACATTTTTATGACTTTTTCATGACATACTATACTATGACATTTTTATGACTTTTTCATGACATACTATACTATGACATTTTTTGACTTTTTCATGACATACTATACTGACATTTTTATGACTTTTTCATGACATGCTTCACTATGACATTTTTTGACTTTTCATGACATACTATACTATGACATTTTTATGACTTTTTCATGACATACTATACTATGACATTTTTTGACTTTGTCATGACATACTATAGTATGACATTTTTTTAATGTTTTTCATGACATACTATACTGACATTTTTATGACTTTTTCATGACATACTATACTATGACATTTTTATGACTTTTTCATGACATACTATACTATGACATTTTTTGACTTTTTCATGACATACTATACTGACATTTTTATGACTTTTTCATGACATGCTTCACTATGACATTTTTTGACTTTTCATGACATACTATACTATGACATTTTTATGACTTTTTCATGACATACTATACTATGACATTTTTTGACTTTGTCATGACATACTATAGTATGACATTTTTTTAATGTTTTTCATGACATACTATACTGACATTTTTATGACTTTTTCATGACATAGTATACTATGACATTTTTATGACTTTTTCATGACATACTATACTATGACATTTTTTGACTTTTTCATGACATACTATAGTATGACGTTTTTTTAATGGTGTTTTTTATGACATACTATAGTATGAAGTTTTTTTAATGTTTTTTATGACATACTATACTGACATTTTTGACTTTTTCATGACATACTATACTATGACATTTTCTGACTTTTTCATGACATACTATACTATGACTTTTTTTATGATTTTTTATGACATGCTATACTATGACTTTTTTTAATGTTTTTGATGACATACTATCCTATGACTTTTTTTTATGTTTTTCATGACATACTATACTATGACATTTTTAATGACATTTTGATGACTTTTTCATGACATACTATACTATGACATTTTTATGACTTTTTCATGACATACTATACTATGACATTTTCTGACTTTTTCATGACATACTATACTATGACATTTTTTTAATGTTTTTCATGACATACTATACTGACATTTTTATGACTTTTTCATGACATACTATACTATGACGTTTTTTATGACTTTTTCATGACACACTATACTATGACATTTTTTGACTTTTTCATGACATACTATACTATGACATATTTTTAATGATGTTTTTCATGACATACTATACTATGAAATTTTTATGACTTTTTCATGACATACTATACTATTACTTTTTTGACTTTTTCATAACATACTATAGTATGACGTTTTTTTAATGATGTTTTTCATGACATATTATAGTATGACGTTTTTTGTGGCTTTTTTATGACATACAGTACTATGATGTTTTTTATGACTTTGTTATGACATACTATACTATGACATTTTTTATTATTTTTTTCATGACATACTATACCATGACTTTTTTTTGATTTTTTATGACATGCTATACTATGGCTTTTTTATGATTTTTTTTGTCATGACATACTATACTAAGACTTTTGTTTTGACTTTCTCGACATGCTATACTATGTTTTTTATGATTTTTTTTGTCATGACATACTATATTAAGACTTTTTTTATGACTTTCTCGACATACTATACTATGACCTTTTTTTTTAGTTTTTTATGACATGCTATACTATGACTTCATTTCATGGTTTTTGACAACATACTGACATTTTTTAATGACATTTTGATGACATACAATACTATGACATTTTTTATGACATACTATACTATGACGTTTTTTTAATGTTTTTCATGACATACTATACTATGACATTTTTATGACTTTTTCTCGACATACTATACTATGACATTTTTTTGTCTTTTTTATGACATACAGTACTATGACTTTTTTTGTGTGGCTTTTTTGTGACATACATTACTATGATGTTCTTTATGACTTTTTTATGACATAGTATACTGTGACATTTTTATGACTTTTTCTCTACATACTATACCATGAAGTTTTTTATGGCTTTTTCATGACGTACAATGCTGTTTTTTTATGACATTTTGACAACATACCATACTATGATGTTTTTTTCATGACTTTTTCATGACATTCAAACTATGACGTTTTGATTCTTTCATGACATACTATACTGTTTTTTTAATTTTTTGATGACATACTATACTGTTTTTGACTTTTTCATTACATACCATACTATGTTGACTTTTTTCATGATATACTATACTGACATTTTTCATGATATATTGTTTATGACTTTTGTTTGACATACTAGTGTTTTTTCTTTTTCATGACAGTATACTGTGATGTTTTTTTATTAAATGTTATGCTATGACATTTTTGACTTTTCATGACATGCTATATACTGTAACATTTTCTGTAACTTCTTTATGACATACTATACTATGACTTTTTTTTTAGTTTTTCATGACATGAAAAACATCATAAAAATGTCATCGTATAGTATGTCATGAAAAGTCATAAAAATGTCATTATGCCATAAAAAAGTAATTTAAAATGTCTTGTCCTTTAAAAAGTCATGGTTATAATATCCCATTTATGTTTTTAGTATCAAAAGACACTGAAATACCATACGACTCAGAACCCAAGATGAGAGCTGATTTTCTGCATTGTGAGTAAAATTGTTCGATATGATTACTGACATCCATCTTTATGAATCCAAGGACTGATAGTTGGTATTTAACAATGTGCATCCACTGTTATTTTAGATTACAATGATATAAGTCTGGACCCAAACACAGCCAACCCTTATCTGTGCTTCTCTGATGGTCGAAGAGGGGTGACCACACGCTTAGAGCCACAGCCCTACCCTGACCACCCACATCGCTTCACCAGCTGGGCCCAGGTGCTGTGCAAAGCTGGAATGGCTGGACGTTGCTACTGGGAGGTGGAGTGGGCTGGTAATGGAGGGGTTTCCATTGGTGTCTGCTACAAAAACATGGGCAGGAGTGGAGAAGGGAGTGACTGCAAGCTTGGACACAACTCCAAATCCTGGAGCCTGGACTGCTCTTACTCAGACTGCTCATTTCAGCACAACAAGGAGAGAGTGAGCATCACCACACCTTGCTGCAGCAGGATAGGAGTGTATCTGGACTTCAGGGGTGGGACTTTGTCTTTCTATAATGTTTCTGATACAATGGTTTTGCTCCATAAAGTCAAGGCTACATTCACCCAGCCGGTATACCCAGGATTTTGGGTGGGTTTGAGCTCTTCTTTGAGGCTGTGCTCTCCTTAATTGTAAAGATGACTATACTCCATTAAGCATAGCAGTTCTCAAGTGTGTGTGGAGTTGAAAATATTTGTTTGAGAATAATAATGAAACAGACAGGGTTGTGCTCAAAATGCAGCATTTTAATAACCGTGCAAGCCTGGAGCAGCAGAAACACTTTGGGGGAGCTAGTAAACAGCTGGTGGAGCTTAGATCTTGTTGAAGGCGGCGACATCGACACTCTGGACCTGCAGAGGGAGAAAAGAGAAAAAAGTCAATCTGTATATTTATGTGATATTATGTTATACAGTGATTTATTGTGCTATTAAAGTTATTCTATTTAAAGTCAATAATAAAGCATTTAATGACAAACACATCCACAGACTGAGTTTTTTCATGATTCATTTATATTATTCCCTCTCAACATGTAAAGCAAAAGTTTTACATTTTTGTTAATACGCTTATTCACTTTCCAGCAGAAATTTAGATAACATAGATCAGAGTGTGGTATCAATCTTAAGTGACAGCCAGCAGACACTTAGCTCAGCTCAAAGACCGGAAACATCTTACCTGGCTCTTTCCAGAGGTTACAAAATCCACCTACAACCACCTCTAATGCTCTCTAATTTACACGCTGTAACTTTGTTTACATCATAGAAAAAGTGTTAGTGTAGAAACCTCATACGCCATTTTAGAGAAGGTTATGTACTCTCAGCCAAGAAATGCACACATAACCCTGGTGCTAGTAGGCAGATTTTGCTGGCTACTCCCCCCAACTTCTTGATATTGTGCTGAAATAAGCTTATTGACTAAGGCCTTACATTTCATGGACAGAGTGGTATTAATTTTATTTAACTCTCCACCAGAAAGGAACAAGCATATTTAGCAAAAAAACATAGACTCGACTATTTTTTCCTGGAAGAAGATCCATTTTAAGTTTGGGTAACCCCAAATCACAAATATGTGAGATATATTTTTGCCTCCACCCCAATACAGTGGAAGAGAATGGAATTTAATCTGTGATACTCACTGCATTGGACAATTATTTTGAGGAAAAAAAGACATTAAGCAGCAACACCTCATTTGATCACGGGTTCTCAAAGTTTTGACACTATAGTATGTCGAGAAAAGAGTCATAAAAAATGTCATAGTATAGTATGTTGAGAAAAAGTAAGAAAAAAAAGCCATAGTATGTCGAGAAAAAGTACCATAGTACCAAAAATGCCATAGTATAGTATGTTGAGAAAAAGTAAGAAAAAAAATGCCATAGTATAGTACGTCGAGAAAAAAGTCATAAAAAATGCCATAGTATAGTATGTTGAGAAAAAATTCACAAAAATGTCATAGTATAGTATGTTGAGTCAAAGTCATAAAAAATGCCATAGTATAGTATGTCGAGAAAAATTTCATAAAAATGTCATAGAGTATGTTGAGTAAAAGTCATAAAAAATGCCATGAAAAGTCATGAAAAAGTCATAAAAATGTCATAGTATGTTGAGAAAAAGTCATGAAAAAGTCATAAAAAATGCCATAGTATAGTATGTCGAGAAAAAGTCATGAAAAAGTCATAAAAATGCCATAGTATAGTATGTCGAGAAAAAGTAAAAAAAAAAATGCCGTAGTATAGAATGTCATGAAAAAGTCATGAAAGTCATAAAAACGTCATAGTATAGTATGTCGAGAAAAAGTCATAAAAATGTCACAGTATAGTATGTCGAGAAAAAAGTCATAAAAATGTCACAGTATAGTATGTGGAGAAAAAATTCATAAAAATGTCACAGTATAGTATGTCATGAAAAAGTCATAAAAATGTCATAGTATAGTATGTCATGAAAAAGTCATAAAAATGTCACAGTATAGTATGTCATGAAAAAGTCATAAAAATGTCATAGTATAGTATGTCGAGAAAAAAGTCAAAAAATGCCATAGTATAGTATGTTGAGAAAAAGTCATGAAAAAGTCAAAAATGTCATAGTATAGTATGTCGAGAAAAATTTCATCAAAATGTCATAGTATAGTATGTTGAGTTAAAGTCATAAAAAATGCCATAGTATACTATGTCGAGAAAAATTTCATAAAAATGTCATAGTATAGTATGTTGAGTAAAAGTCATAAAAAATGCCATAGTGTAGTATGTCGAGAAAAAGTCATGAAAAAGTTATAAAAATGTCACAGTATAGTATGTCGAGAAAAGTCATAAAAATGTCATAGTATAGTATGTGGAGAAAAAATTCATAAAAATGTCATAGTATAATATGTTGAGAAAAAGTCACAAAAAATGCCATAGTATAGTATGTCATGAAAAAGTCATAAAAATGTCACAGTATAGTATGTCGAGAAAAAAGTCATAAAAATGTCATAGTATAGTATGTTGAGAAAAAGTCATAAAAAATGCCATAGTATAGTATGTCATGAAAAAGTCATAAAAAAGCCATAGTATGTCGGGAAAAAAGTCATAAAAATGTCATCGTATAGTATGTTGAGAAAATGTCATAAAAAATGCCATAGTATAGTATGTCATGAAAAAGTCATAAAAAAGCCATAGTATGTCGAGAAAAAAGTCATAAAAATGTCATAGCATATAGTATATTGAAAAAAAAGTCATAATAAGTCAACAAACTTTTGACTGGTGTTGTATACACAGATTTAAAATAACCAGATTACTGCAATGCAGCTAGACAAGTTCTCAAATTACCTTTGTAACCTTATTTCTTGTGTATATATGTTGCTGTTGAATCTTGTATTGGAATTTCCCAATTTTGTGAGCACTACAAATTAAATTCCATTTAGCTCCAAAGTTTGGAGCCAGAAATGTACAAGATAGATGTCTTAAATCAGAGCTACCCAACATTGCTCGGTACCACTCAAGGTATGTGAAATCATTTCATATATTTCATTAGGGTGAACAAGTTATATTGAAGTGGTTGTTACTTACATAGTCTTCAAACTTAGTGATCTCCTCTTCTAGGATGTCAGTGCCTACTTTGTCGTCCTCAACCACACAGTTGATCTGCAGCTTCTTGATGCCGTAGCCCACTGGCACCAGTTTGGATGCTCCCCACAGGAGCCCGTCCATCTGCACTGAGCGCACACACTCCTCCAGCTTCGCCATATCAGTCTCATCATCCCACTAAGGGAGCACAGGGAGGGAAGGGACACAAAGAGCACTGATTTAATGAAAGCCATAAAGACTCAGTTCAACAGTTTGCAGCAAAACATCACAAGTTGAATGACACGGTTTACTTTCCTATTTTGATGACATGCATGTTTAAATTGTGATTTTGTTGAAGTTCAGTTAATTGATATCTTGTGTTTCTGATTTGAAAATACTGAAGTAGATCTAATAAGATGAAATTAAAGGACAAAACGTCCAAACTTCCTGCAAGTTTTTTTTTTTCACCTTTTCCCAAACAAGAAAAAAAGTCAATCAGTATATCAATAAATTCATGTCCTAAGAACACAAATGTCCTAATTTTAATCAACTTTTTTTCCCACAACTGTGGCTTCTTTATATGAGAACACAACTGCAATGAAACTAGCATATTAATAAGAGCTACATGATACAGTTCAAGAGGACACGTACGGGCTTAACGTCCAACAGGATAGATGACTTGGCGATGAGGGCAGGTTTCTTGGACTTCTTGGCTGCGTAAGCATCCAGGCGCTCCTGCTTGATGCGTGCTGCCTCCTCGTCTTCCTCATCACTGCCGAACAAGTCAATGTCGTCGTCTTCATCATCACCGCCATTTTCGACCTTTACCTGTTTGGCTGGAGCAGCCTGGACTGTAACAGCCTGGTCAAAACAATGGAAAGGACAGGAGAATCAGTGCAGTGACAGTAAGATATTAAGGCAGTAAGCCTTTCTCTTTCTTTATTTCATTTGTTCAAACGATTAAAACATCATACAACTATAAAGCATCGATAGATACAGGATGGGCAGGGGAGGAAAGAAGTCAAAAGGGGGTGAGACAACATCCACCTATACAGAACAAAAATAACAATAACAGCTAAACAAAACATCAAAGAGGGTATTTATGATCAAAAACAATAAAAGACAGGAAAGTTATTTGCCACTGTGAAACAATGAGCTGTTTTCTAATTGAGTCTTCACACATGTCACAAAGTAGGTGATTTAATTTCAAATTGTTCCAGAGAGACAAGGCTGTCTTGCATCTTTCAGACATCTGTTTTATAGCTTAATAAACGTAAGCAAGTAGTAATGTACTGTCTATGAGAAAAAACAAAAAACTAATTTCTTAATTATCTACCTTAGCACATGGGACAGCTGCTGGGTTCTTCTCCAGCACAGCCACTCTGGACTCCAGCTTCAGCAGGGCTGCCCTCATCTCTGCCACCACTAACAAGTAAAGACAATAGGAATATTAAGTATGAATACGGAGTAATAGGTGAGCAAATGCTTAGGGAGACATTATGAAACACTGAGACACACACCTTTGTGCAGAGTCTGGTTCTCCAGTTCCATGCTCTTCATGCGTGAAACCAGCTCCTGGTCTCCTCCTGCATGTGAGGATGACTGCGGAAAGATAAACACACATTAATTAGCAGGTGTCATGTTCCAGGTGACAATGCAAACGCACTCTCATCCAGGTCGAGAGCCAGTCTAAGCCCAAAGAGGAGAAGCCAGCAAAATAAAAAAAATAATGATGAGGTTTGAAAAGAAACACATGCAAGGCAAACATCCGTTGCTCGACAATTACTTGGATACACTTCACACACAATGCTGATGTTAAAATCAACTGTTTAGGGTGACGGCATGCAGGCAAAGTGTGCAAAGATTTTTGATGAGAACTTATTTTTCACACAATTTATCATCTGAAAGGAACAGTTCCACATTTTGGGAAAAATACATTTGCTTTCTTAGAGACAGAGAGACAAGAAGATCGATACAATTTCAGCGAAACAAAACACGAGTGTTTGAACTGAAGTAACTGTATATAACGTGTATATTAGTGGAGATAATTTTTTAGAGTCTTTGGACAGAGTCAGCCAGCTGTTACCCTGTACCCAGTCTCTGTGCTAAGCTAAGCTAGAACAGATATG